GTCTTGGGGAGTACTAATACATTAATTTAAAAAGCTGTATAAAGCTCCAGATGGAGCTGCGCAATATTTGTTGCTCGTTGCTGCTTGAGGATATTAACCCCTAGCATAACACACTCGAATCTCCGACCAAACTGTTGACCCTCATATTGCATTGTGGGTATTGCAGGCGACAAGGAAGATTACATTTTTTAGGTAAAATTGTTTTTTTTAACTGTCCATCTAAAGTCTTATGATGTCTCTTTTAAGATAACTTAGGCCACAAAATAAATGACACTATAAAATGAATAAGACATAGATGTAGTTGTTGTCCAAATGTCTTATATATTGGGATAAAAACCCCATTTCTTTCCTGCAGTTAAATGGAAAACGACCTACAGCATAACAATTTGCATATCTGACTGTTTGATTTTAGAGACATTCGAACAGTCAAATCAGGAATCTGTTGGTATACAGCAACTAAACTGTCAATTCCACATGTTCTGCATTCCTTCTGTGGCCTTTAAGTGTACATAGGACGTGAACATGGATCATGTGGACTGTAACGGTTCGAAAGGTGCCGTGTCGTGGTGTTTTAAAGACGTCTCCTCTGCAGTTACTGTGTGATTGCCCAGTCTTGCATCCACTTAATAACCAAAGCTATCAACAGCAGCCTGTTTCTAAGAACCAGTGGAGGAAAACTATTAATCCATTTGTTTGTACTGACAAATGGACTCTTCTTTGTTGAGCTATAAACATAGATTAAAGCCACATTGTTTCCTGTTGAGTCAAAGTGAGTTTTAGGGCTGATGACTCAATGATTCTCATCCACTCACTAACATTCACTCAGGGCCTCCTTGGGGATTCATGAATTCATCCATTTCAGACTAGGGCAGTAGTGTTTTTTGGCCCAGGTTGTAGTGACCCACATATATGAGAGTGAGCTGGATAACATAAACAAGAGGACCATTAGAAACCAAATGAATAATAGATGAAAACAGAGACAGTGTAAGAGCAGGGAGACACTTTTAAAGTAGTATTCCTTGAAAATGGATTACCCAATTTTATTCTGTTGTGTGTGTTTGTGTTTAAGTATCAGTGTCATTCTTGAAGTGTTGGTGATATTGCTCTTGACATTTTTGCCTATGAAATGTGTTAAAATGAACATCATTATTTGGAGAAGGGCTGGCAACGACAATGCTAACAGCTAGTTCTGGGAAAGTCAGCTGAAACTGCAATGCTGCTCTGTAGCCCAGGGGGCAATCCAGTAAAGTCTCCATACAAAATCTTGCTTGAACAGTACTGCTAAGAATAGACCACTACTGTGGGTAATTTGGCAAGAATCAATTGAATTGTAATCCCAATAGGAAAATGTGCTGAAAAAACAACTGACATCTCCCAGTACCTCTGTGTACCTCCCACTTTATATCTATATCCCCTACTCTGTTAAGGAGGAGTACAGATGCTGTGTCATAGGTGTTGATGTTGCTATGCAACCAACCCGAATGGTTTTTAAAAGGGATGAACATTTTGAACAAGTCTGTTTTCATCTCAAAATGGTTGTATTTGGCAGAATAATGATTTCCCATTAGCAGGAACCCTTGAAACTCCCTTGATTTATGATCTGCGTGGTGGGTGCATCCCATTATACAGCTCTCAAAAGAATCTCTTCCATGTTTACCAAAGAACAGATGAATGGAACTGGAACTGCTCATTTCCAATCACAGGGCAAGCGGTGCTAAACTATAGACAATAAGCGTGAGTCACACCCATGCTACTGGGCACCACTGCCATTCATTTACACTTCTTTTAGACATTTTAAAGGTCCAGTGTATAACATTTAGGAGGACCTATTGGCAGAAATGGAATATAATATTCTTAGGTATGTTTTCATTAGTGTATAGTGACCTGATTATAAGAATCGTTGTGTTTCCGTTACCTTAGAATGAGCCGTTAACATGTACAGAGGGAGTGGGTACTCTTCAATGGAGGCCACTATCTTTCTACAGTAGCCCAGAACAGACAAACCCAACACTGGCTCTAGATAGGGCTGAGTTGTTTTCAGATAGTTGCAATCTGCAGCCTCATCACTAGATGACACTACACACTGGTCCTTTAAAGCTCAGATAGCTTTCATTTGTTGTTACACGCAAATAAATAATTTGTATCACTTAATATTAAGTTAAACTGATTTCTTGTGATGTCTGAAACAGTGAACAATTCTCTTAACAATTTCCAAGATCCCAAGCTGATGTCATGAAGCTGTTGTTCCGTCCATGCCTACAGACAAAACGCAAAGATATTCAATTAATTAATTAATTATCCAAATAGTTGCTGATTCATTTTCTGTTGATTGACTAAGGGATTAATCAACTGATCGTTTTAGCTCTTATTTCTTGACTTTAGAAAGACAACCTGAGTAGTTGGTACAGTAGTAGCTCAAATATAACAATTATCAAATGACAGAAATCTTAAACCCATAAAAAAAAAAAACACAAAATCTTAATAATTGGTTTATAATGCAAGATTTACTAGCCCACAACGTACAGTATAATGGACGTTTGTCAGTGTTTGGAAGAGAAAAGTAACAGACTCGAAATGTGTCAAACATACTGCTCATAATACAGTATATTAGACCTGAATTATATCATTCTTTGCACATTTCCTTATTAGTTATTTTATCTGACCTGTGGTTTCATGGATCTTGTTGAATATACTCAACATTTTGATTCTGATATGCTACAGTACATACAATATGACAGTTAATACAAGGTTCAAGAAATTGTATTCCAGGACCTTTGCGGGACATTTTCCAAGAGATCTTCATGACAATATCAGTGCTTGGCCGTTCTCGATTTTTCAACTTTCCTAATTGACTATAGTTTTCCTCTGACCTTAACATTAATTTGGCCATAGTACAGGCTAAAATACAATTAGAATTTTCCAGGACAACATAGATTATACATTAATATCTCCAGGATGTGTGGGCACCCTGCTAATACTGCAATACTTAACATTCTGATTACTCTAAATACATACTTGACCTATCTGACCTTAAAGGCTCAATTCACACAAGGAGATGAACTGCTTACTTGTGAGGAGTACTACTCAGCCTCTGGAAGCAGCAGTATAATGTCCTCTTTAGCCATAGAGGGCCCTCTCTAAAGTTTGGAAAAAATAATGATAATAATCTCGGCTTTGACTTGTAGACTACACATTTTCAGATGGTCTAACAAAAAATGTTATTGAGGTGCATTATGGAAGGTAGATGATCCAGTGTGTTTGGTGTCAGGATATTTTGGCCTATGCTGCTTCAGTTTTAACAATTATTTTGTACAAGCTTGCACTAGTCACTGGAATAACACCACCCACGTTAAATTGTTGGATTTTTTTTTTATTAATTCCATCAATTTCACTGTGCACATGAGTAATGTGGAATGCTGAATTACTTTCTCTTTTTACTATTGGAAATGTTTTTTATCCCTTCATCATGCGTAGGATTGGTATTGACTTGATATCCAGGATCTTCCTTGTGTATCCCTTTCTCCTACTCTCACCTGTCTTACTGTAACAACAGAAAACCAATTATCTCTCCTTATGGCCCAATAAGCTTAAAGCACTCATGACCTCTACCATTTGGGGTCATACATATGGCAACAAAATATGCAGAATTTTGAATTTTAAAATATCAAAGGGAGCCATGCAGGCTACAGGATCTACATTTCATTACAGATACTACGCTGCCCATGTTTCACCAATTCCCCATTAATGACATAAATGCACAAACCATATTTAGAATGGGAGAGACAAAGAGAGAGAGAAGACGTGGAATGTCAGACAGAGCTGCATGGGCGTCTGACAGGCAGACATATCGACAGAGACTGTATCATGAACCATTTGATGGACGCTTTCATCCAAAGCCTCTTGCAGCAGCATGAGTGAATACAGTGCATTTAGCATTGGGTGGGCATTGAACCGCTAGAGCCTGGCAGTATGCGCTGTTAGTGCCATGCTGGAGCCATCAGGCTGCACAACCACTGACTGACAGACAGGCAGACAGACAGACCATACAGGCACAGACAGACAGACAGACAGGGAGGCAGGGGGTTCTGTCTGACGGCTGCACGGCTTCTCACGCCTTCATGTTTTCCTGCCTGATCAGCCTGACAGAAAATCAATGACGCTGCACTCTCGCGGAGACGCACGGTAACCGTTGAGAAAGGCGAGGACGCTCCGGCGAGGCTGAATATGCACTGTAGTCGAGTCTGTGTCTATTCTCACACAGCGGCACACTGTAGCTTGAGGGAAAAGAGGAGGACGGTGATTGCGATGATGATGAAGCAATTATCTACCAGGCCCACATGTGTGTGTAACGGAATGTGTCCAAGCTGGAGCCCATAATCGACATACGGCTCCAGGAGCGGACACAGATCTGATTCGAGGCCTCTCTAATGTGCCTGCTTGCTTCACAACCCCATCGAGATGAATGGAGTTCCTGCTTAATTTAGGCACCGGCCACGTCCACGGGGCTGGTTAAAGGACCCCCAGCGCTCTTACAGGCAATTCACGTTGACAAATAAACACCAGTGTGTGTGTGTGTGTGTGTCTTCATGATGAACTTGTGTGAAAACAGCGGACCGGCTGTTTTGTGAGTGTGGGGTTTTTAGCGGGGGGGGCGGGGGGTTTGCACTTGAGCATCACGTCGAGCATGTCCGATAACGGATGCATCGGCGTTTACGTGCGCAGCCAATATTTAGGGAGGAGGGGGCGGGTTTCGCACCAGCAACCCAGCGGGCCGCCGCATTACTATCAGTGAAACGGTGCCGTCACTCCACCTCAATGTGAAACACAAGCAAATCCACCAGCTTATTAGCAGAGGTGTGTGTGCAGACATTTTTAACGTGTGTTTGAAACCGAGACACCAGCTCCATCACGGTCCCAGGCTGTGTGGTTATTCTCATGGAGGGAGCACATGTGTTCAACCACGGTCACCCAGTGAAACGTATAAACAAGCTTCTATTTACCTTCATGTCGTTGACAATCGCCTGGAATAGACCCCCGAGGGCCCCGCATTCCTTCTCCACGGTCTCCATGTTTGCCAAATCCACCATTCACCGGAATTTGCAAAGGCGCGCACCAACTGCGCGCTACCAACACCCAGCAGGAAAAAAAATGTAAAAATGTATTTCCACAATACCACGACCGGGCTCTCTCCGGTTTCTCCTTCAAACCGGGAGACCGACAGTAACAGAGAGATGCAGCAAGAACTGGAGGAAGAGGGGTGGTGGAAAAAAAAGAAAAGATGCCGAAAGAAACGGCTTGCGCTGCGGTCTCTTCCTGGCGAAGGGAAGATGGGTTGTGAGAGAGGAAAGATGGTCTCTCTCTGTCTCTCTCTCTCTCTCTCTCTCTCTCTCTCTCTCCCTCTCTCTCTCTCTCTCCCCGGCTCTGGGTCAGTCAGGCGGCGAGACGTTTAGATGCTACCGGGGCCACCGCTCATCTTGGCGCAGCCGGCGCTACGCGTCGCTAGTCGTTGGGGACGCATGTGAAGGCAGCGGAGTGGAGGACCGAAGCGATGGATCGCCGTGTACTTGTGTGTGTGTGCGTGTGTGTGTGTGTGTTTGTGTATGTCAGGGTCTGTGTCTGTGCCTTCGTGGATGCATGTGCGCGAAGGTACAGGCAGGCTGTGATTGGTGCAGAGGCGGTGGGCTCAGCGGTGCGGGGAGAGCAAGCCAGTAATACGATCCACGCAACTGCAAGGGAGTCAAAAAAAGGAGGCTGGACAACTATGTACGGCCTGTCACATGGCCACACAGCACACACACACACACACACACACACACACACACACACACACACACACACACACACACACGCCTTAGACCACCATAAAAAAAATCAGCAGGGGGTAAATGTCAAATAGATTCAGCTGCCAGAAGAGTGTGTGCATGTGTGTAGGAATGTGTCCTGATGACCCTGATTAATCACTTTTATTTAAAAATATCACTTTCATAACCCCTGTGTGACCTGTAAGGACTGCTGGTTGAGGTACTATTATAGGATCCCAGGAAATTGTGTGGTTTTGATTTGTTATTAGGGAACATTAATCTGTATGGAAAGTGACAGTCAGCAAACTGAGGAGAGTTAGGCTCATTAGTTCAGTTCATTTGACTGGAATCTGTGTGACCTAACTCTCTGTCAACAAGTGTGTCAAAGTTTTTAAGTGTCATCATGATGATTTAAAACACTGAATGTTCTACTCCTAACCCGCCTGAGTGTTCACTGGTTTCCCAGCCCCTCACCATGAATCAAAACATCATGAAATTCAACAAGGACACACATTTCTTTCCCTTTAAACTTGACCTTTGACCCTTTTTTGAAAGTTAAGATAGTCTGTCTTTGTATTGTCTGCATAATAATAAGGGGCCAAGGCAAAAGGTATTAACTTCCATTTGATCACTCACTTGGTTAACTGATCACTATATAAAATCAGTAAAGGATAATAAAAATAACATCTACATAAACGTAATTTTGTTTGTTCTGCGTTTCACAACCATCTCCACCAACATTTTACCTTGAGAACAATGGGTCATTCTTAAGAGCTGGCTCCAACACTGTTTGCCTTAAAACTCTATTAAAGCTAGTGTGTGTGTGTCAGAAATGCTTTGATGATAGATATTAATTATTACCACGCTGAAGCTGCGGTGTTATGCCCATGTATTACAATAGGCATTACATTGTAACTCCAGAGCCTTAACTGAAGAGGACCTAAAGGCAGACTACCTTAACAGAGTACCTTAACTCAGCTTGAGTGTTTGGAGCGCAGTAGTTCCTCAAAGGATGCTGATTGGTTCGTAACCACTGTGTTCGGACACAAGCACATAGATTTAAGCCTGGCAAGATGGAACCTAGTGTGACCTTGTGATTTTGTCATTTTACGAGTCAAGGTTCCTCACAACGTTACCCTGGTTTCTTCAAAACTACAGGAGAAGTCAATGAGTCTTGTACTCCCCCTTGCAACTCTTGTGGTAAGGTACCTCATGGGAAATAACTATTAAGGACTATTATAGTAATTGTACTTTGGCCACTTTGTGTTGAATTCATTCACCACTTCTGCCAACATCCCCTGTTTGCATTAGAAGGACTTTAGGAGTGGTTAGCAGCACTCCTAAAGTCAGTTTAATCAGCATGTCATTTGACATGTGTGGCCAAAGTACAATTACTATAATAACAACATTAAAGAATGAAATTGACAAAAACAATGTAAATGCAAATAAAATAAATAAAAATAAAAGAGATTACACATTATCTATAAGATTTTTCTAATATATAACAGTTATGCCACAAAACCTGTGATGTACTAGACTTAAACCTGCAATGACTGTTTATTGTTAGTTTTTTTGCTGTAGGGGGCAGTGAACATAACATTGAGGTGTGAAACTGATATGGCAAATGTGATAGCAAACAGTTAGCTGATTACAGAGAAACATAATCATTCATTTAGAGTCATGTTTCTGGCCACCTGGCTAATGTAAGACCAATATACACTTTCTTTTATATCTGCTTTTGGTCTCTACCAACTCCTGAGGGAAATATCTGGCTCCTGAGCAGCTAAAGTTCCATTATGTTCACTATCTTGTCACCAACTGTGTCTGTCTGCTGTTTGGTGCTGAGCAGGTGGTGTACTGTGGGTTTCAGAGCTGTTCTGCCTGCTATAGCCGGATGCAACCCTATGAGAGCAGTGACAGTGAACAAAAATTGTACAGCAGCTAAACACTGAGCTAAAACCCGCTGTAATGCTCCATAAAGCCAAAGGGAGCTGAAGATTCTCTGTAGGTTGGTCAGTGCCAGTGACCCCTTTCACATAGTCACACAGTGATCCTGAGAATATATTAAGATGACTCTGGTCATAAGTTTCATAATAACTGTTGTTGATATCACAATGCCTCTAGTGGAGACAGTTATGTAATTCTCTAGAAGTCACAACTAACTAAAAAAATGTTTCCTAAGGCAGTTCTTGCATGAGTAGAAATCCTTTTAGTGGGAGTTTGGATCTGTTTCAGTGCCCTTCCTTGACAAGAACAAAGCTCCTGTTTTAAACATTATATTTTAGGTAATATTAGGTTTTGCATGTATATTAAGATAAAACTGAGCCAAGAATAGGAAACAATTGTGTATCTGCATAAATCTGAAGTAAAAAAGAGCAATAACTTTATGTCTGCATGCGAACTGTACTGTACTTACAGAGTACTCAAGTAACATGATACAGTAAGCAACCAGAGTGATGGTTAAAAGGTCAAAGGTCACAGTGCCCTGGATATTCCTGTGACCACAGGTGGATCATGTCAGAGAGAAGTGCTCGGAAATTAGACATCAGCGGGGAGTGGTATAGGATCTTTTTCTTGTATCAGTTTCAGGCAGTAAGGTGGTATTGTCACACGATAACCTCGTGAGGATTTCAGAATGTGGTGTCTTAATTATTACATTTTTATTGGAAAGGCCTTTGCGTCGAGCTGAAAGAATCCCAGAAGTCAGGAAGTCTACTCAAGATAAATAGAAATGCAATTCCAACTTAAGAATCCGATTTTTTTTCTTTGATATTCCTAAAATCTGAGTTTTGGTGACACAATACAAGGTTTTCATCAGTTGGTTCATCAGTGACAAAAAGCCACAGGACCTTTATTACCTTTTGTCTACCAAGTTCCCTCCGGGTGAGCCCTGGTCTAGAAGAAACAGTCCTTGTATCTACACAGAGCAGGTGACAACAGGCACTCACACACATGCCAGCTCTAATCTCATGCCAAATTTTCAGCATCCTTAGAGAGCCCTTATATGGATAAAGGAGAGGACACGCCCATGTGAGCATCTCCAGCGTGTGTGTATGACTACCATATGTGCACTCTATATGTGTACGTGTTTGTGTGAGCATTCATGTGACGATGACAGTGACCTTGACAGGAGGAAGGATGTAATAGATATCACATGGTCTTAGCCTAGCCCTTCCTGTGTGTTTATCCGTGTACTTATATTCACGCATTTTCTTGTCTTTCCTCTGTACAGTTTGCTCACACACTCTGCGGTCACCTTATAACACCCAGAAGACTCAATGATTCGCGTGGACTTGGAAGGAAACTGAAGAGCACGTGTTCAGTTGCAACAAAATCCTCCTTTGGCTCTCATTATCTCCCATGAGGCCTTTCCTGAACAGATCAGCTTAGAGAGTAAACATACTTCAAAGAGTCATGAAAACAGTGTGGCTGTATTAACAGCTGTGTATGGTAAAGTGACAGATTCCAGCCAGGTTAAATCAATTTGACAAGGTTTTACTGCATTCCTAACTGTGGACCTGGTTTCTATTTAAAGGTGTCTCACGCACAGCTACTGGAGGGCCAGACAGTCCTGTTTCTTTCCCTTTATACAAATGAAAACCTTTACATTTTATCACCTGCTCTCCTGTCGGTATTGGACACAAAATTTACCAAAGAAAATCTGAAACCTTTTTGTTGTTGCTGTCACTGTTGTGGATAAGCATCCTAACATTCACAATTTGATTTCATCTGTGCACATGCATGATAGGGATGTCATTTTCTACACAATTTATGTTTATTATAAAATGTACTTGTCATGCCAGAGCACCAGCGTCTCAGACTAAAACAATGGGCACTATGGCTAACTAGACTCCACTGACAAAACATTTTACGTAATTGTAAAACACACTTCAAATTAGACCTTAAACAAAATTAAACTCACCAAAACCATATTTTTTTGTTTTCCCAACAATCACCAATGGTAGTTTGGTTGAGATAAACCCTTAATTCACTGAATTAGATGAGAAAATAGATATTTTGTTTACCCAGATGCAGCCGTAATATTGCTATTGCTCACCACCAGACTCCATAGAAAAAAACTGTAATTTTAACTTTAATATTATTTTAATATCATAACTTCAATCAAAGTGAACAGAAACAAAATAAAACTCAAAACAGTCTTTATTAGTATTTCCACAGCTCCAACAATCACCAACTCTTGGCCAAAATAAATCCTTAATTCACCGAGCAAGATGAGAAAAACAGCAGTTTCAGTCTCTCTCCTCTGAAAACAGACAGGCTGCATTAGCAACACAACAATGTCAAGGTAATGTCATTCTCTGCTCAGGACACCATGACCCCCAATTCATCTTTACGTAGCAAAGAACTTTTTGCAGCTATATTAATGTTTAAAATCTCATATATATATATATATATCCTTTAAATGTTTTATGTATTTTATAACTGCAGATTTTGAAATGTTATTGTAAAATAGGAGAGAAACCACATAAGAGTGTTGGGAGAGGGGTCATAGCTCTGCAAAAATTGGGAGTGGATAATCATCCCTTTCTGTGGAAACTCAATTATCTGACTGTTGCACTTGCAGCAGGGGGTTAGCAAAGTCATTGTCACAATATCATGATAGATTATGTATATGTACAGAATATTCTGACTGTTTAGAAAGGACTGTCTATATAAGTTTGTATGTGGCACTCATCCTAGCATTTCCAAAACTGTTCTTGTACACACCACACATCGATAAGACATCAGTCAGCTCTCAGTTCTTTGAAAAATTACTATTGTAAGAGAATTATACATCAAAACATTATGCCGGACCAGCCCATCCATAAATGATGCTTGTTTGCCGTGTATGCCAAACCAAGCTGCCATATGTGACAATTTGGTAGTGAGAATGGGCTAATTCCTCTCTAAGT